CGATGTATTCGATGTAGCGAATTTTATTTCACATTCGCACTTACAATCACCCAAATTACAGATTTACGGTTACTGCTATCTGCAGTATCACAATTAGTACACTCCAAATGCCACAATACAACTGACTGGTTGCTGGCTAACTCGACGATAGGTCCAGGACTCGCTGACTGACTCAGTACAACTGACTGTGAATAGCCTTCGCTGCTCCTTATGTAACCTCGATCGGACAATACGGCCATGTAATAGGCAACCTTGTTGCCTGGCGCTGTGTTGCTATGTAACGCTAGCGGGGGTAACCGCTGTTACTACCGTAATGTCGCCGCTGTTGACTCGCGTTGCCTAGCGACCGCGATATCCCTCGGTGACGTCACCGCGGAGGGGAGTGGTGGGGCGGGAACTCGCCTATTACCGTAGTAACGCGAGCGTTACATTACCGCCACGTACCGCTGGGGAGGTAGGGGTCAACATGTCACACTATGTTCAAATATAATCAATTCTATCGCTATGAGAAGAATATTAACCCCTTCATGTCCTCTCTAGCAACCTTCCAACATGTTAATTTTAATCCAATCCACCACCTTATGAATTTAGTGACACATTAGATTCATGTGCAAAGTCTCGTATCTTTGCGCCTTGAACCCTCTGATCTCTTTTCTATTAGTTCATGTTCAGAACAAGACTACTTTCCTTTATATTTTTGGACAAATTAATTTGAAGTCAGCAAGGGTGACATTTGGAATAAAAATGACGCAAAGGGGTTAATATGTATTTCATTAAGCAGATATTATTGAACATACATATGTATTCTTCTTTACAGCAACTTATGTTACATTACATGTGGAATTTTTCACACTGATGATTTCTCACAGTTCACTTTAGGAACAAATATGACCATGCAATAAGAATGGATGGATCATGGAATACTAAAAAGGGCATTAGAAATAAAATCTAAAGCAGCAAAAAGACCTATGGTATGACCCAGAGCAAGATGGTTTAACCACACATTAGAAAACATTAAGAAGGAAAGAACTGGCAAAAAAAAATTGAAGAGAAAAGATTATAGGAAATGGAAGAGACCAGAGACTTTTTGCCACTTAAGTCATACAAAATTAAAATGATACTAGAAAGAGAGGGGAATATACAGAGATATCCCCACGTAGTGGGTCCCTGATTCCATGTTTACTCTTACCCAATGTTAAATTTGTATTTTTCTATTATTGGGTTTTCTGGACTGTGTGAATCAGCCTGTATTCCAAATCGACTGCAAAGTTTTGGAAATTGGATGTGTTTCTATCCTCAGTTGCCCAGTAATAGGGATTAACTCTAATGGACCCAGCTAAGTTATGGCCTCCATACCGTCTTCCTTAAGATGGAAAACTGACCCGGTTAGCAAAACAATCTTCACAATATTAGATAATGGACAAGTTCATCAGAGTGTATTATACTATCATCAGAGTGCTTTAAATTGATGTGAATTTCTGTGGTGCCAACCCCAGTTATAAAGGTATTTTTAGGAGACATCAACACAACGAATGATTGATCATAAAACCGATATTAAGGTGTTAATACTCGGTTTTATTTTCTATATCCCACTATAAAGATATAAGAAGATACTGATGCAAGTCATACACGAAATTATAAAGTGTGAAATACCTCATTTAAGGTTCCCATCAGTTAGTGCCCGAATCCATTACACCCTGGAGAAAACTTGAACTGGAATTTCAGTGACCAACATGAACACATTCATTACATATAAATTTAAATACAGATGTAGCTCAGTCAGTAAGACTAAATTACATTTCAAAACCTTCTCTATTATAATGAACATTGGAATAAAATGCACTTCAAATAAAGGTAAAAGGTGAAGTTGTCCCTGTGCTCAATTAGTTAAGCACTATGCAATGAAGACATACGGGAGAGTGGAGGTATAGCTCAACCTTTCTTGACCTCAGCACTAGATGGAGGTGAGTGGTCACCTGCATGCCCCTGCTACTTAAACCGCAGTACCCACTAGAAAGAAGGCTGGGTGGGCCCCAGAGTCGGTCAGGAAGCTGTGAAGAAAAGAAAAATCTTGCCCTGCTAGAAGTCAAACCCAGTCTCTCCAGCCCACAGCCTGTTGTCATACTGAGCTATCCCCACTCCTAAATGTACTTCAGACATGTAAGACAAAAATTATGTACAAATATAATGCACCATTTACAGCCTCAAAGGTTCCAGTTACATGCTAGAGCAGATGCAGAAATTAAATCATGAATGAAAGCCAGTTTTATTCCAGAACAGTAAATGCAATGTTAAAAATGTTATCATGTAAACAGAAAATATTTCAATTTAAAAATTAATTTCAATGACTAGCAAACATCCCCTACCTTCTTTAAGAGCAACTATATATTTTTTCAACTGTTCCCTAATTACTTTCTTTCCATCCTTAGCTAAAAACTCCTTCAGTTTATCAGCTTCAGGATTTGAATTGTTGACAGTAACCACCACCTGTAAGAAAAAAGTAGGAAGTGTATGCACAGCGTAACAATTCTGCCATAGAGTTCATTCCGTCTTTGCATCTAGTCAGCATAAGAATACCCCCTTTTTAATTATCTTAAATGTATGACTTACAGAAAAAGTGCACTGGACATAATGTATGCTTTTCATTTCTTCCCACATTTCTACAAATCATCTTTTTGCTCCAATACATATTTAGCGAATTACATTTAACATGGTGTTTTATGTAAGGTTACTATTGTCTGATTTTAAATTAAGCTTAAAAGTGATGAAAAATTTTAGTAAAAAAAATCCACAATATCAAGTTTATTGAAAATTAGTGTGGTTCTTCTCAAGAGGGTACATGCAGATGTGTGGCCAGACATGGCAAAGTTAATATGAGCCCTCTGCAACTTTTCTGTTGTGAACACACCAAAAGGAAACCAGATGACAAATATTACAAAAGCAAAATGCATAAGGACATAACACAGCTCAAACACTGTTCAACCCCTGCAGCATATGCAAAACATCTGTCCAAAAACAGTCACTTTCATCATTCACTGCGCATATCTACTTGAGGGAAATGGTTTACTGACGAAATGAAGGCTTATTTCTTAAGGGTTAAATCTGCCCTCACTCTCAAAATGGAGCAGCCCATATGCATATGACATGGCAGTACTTGAGAGATGCATGTAAAAATGACTCATATTAAATTCTGTATTACATTCAAACAGTTTCTGTTGTGATTAATTAATTTTATATTGATCAGTCCACGTTGCAGGCATCTGTAATGAATATATGCAACTACATGACATTCATGGTTCTCTCTGTGGTGAATATTAATATTACAGTTTCTTGGAATGTGTTGCCACATAGTTTGGCAGCAGTTATATCCTGAACACGGCAGCAGTAAGTTTCTCCAAAACAACTGAACTCATACACCAAAGTATATGGCATCTCCAGAAGACTGTAATCTTGAAAATACCATGATGCTATATTACAGAATGTCTACTAGAACAATCAGTAAATACAATAAACAAGTGGAGACTTACATCAACTTCTGAGATGTCATTTTCTTCGCTAAGGTTGGGGATATTTACTGTCCCTTCAGCTTCCTGCTCTCCACCTCTTAACTTGCCTGTCCACTTAAGTACAATGTCCCATTCATAGAAAAATATTAACTTCCCTTTACGATTGTTCGCTACGGCTTCTCCTTCGCACTTCTGCACTTCTGTAATCCTACACTTTGCTGAAAACAAGCAAGAACTTAGGTTTAAGAAAGCACTCTTCTGGGATGTGGCACCATGTAGATGTGGTGTTAACCGACGTTTCGGAGGAACGTAACGCCTCCATCTTCAGGATAGAAGGAAAAATAAGAAAATCTGCTAGCGAAGAAACCATGAGAACCAGTACAAGCAGTCTGCTCTTCTACCCTGAAGATGGAGGCGTTACGTTCCTCCAAAAGTCGGTTAACACCACATCTACATGGTGCCACATCCCAAAAGACTGCTTTCTTCATAGTCACCGCCGTGAAAACCTCAAATCTTAAAAGAACTTAGGTTTCTCACAGCAACTCACAGAGGTTCTGAAGTGTTCAAGTGGTGGCCCTCTGTGTTGTGTGTAGGGATACACACACTCAGAAAAACATGCTGATTCCATCTCTGGAGTTAGAGTGGGTGGGGTGGGGATATGGTTACATTACTTTTAATCTGTGGTTCACTTCATGACATTGTCAATATCTAGACTTTATAGTGGCAAGTGGCAGTATGAATGATGAACTGATTAATTTGAAAAGATTTAGAAGGGAGCAATTGTGGCCTGATGTGTCTGGGGGAACTGAGAAAAACTGTGAACACCCTGTCAGGTCAGCCAGTATCCCAGACAAGATTTGTATGAGGTACCTTCCACCACACAGTAGCATAATTGGTTGAAGCACTATGCCACAAGCTGGACAGTCACGGGTTCAATTCATGATAAGGTCATCAGACTTTTCAGTTTACCTAATCCTTCCAGCTGCACTGTGGTCCTGAGGTCAACTCAGTCTCTAAAAGAAACGAGTACCAGGAATCTTCNGGGGGGGGGGGGGTACTGTGATGGTACAAAAACTGATCTCTCAAGATTCTGACATACACATTATACACTCCCATCAATATGAGAGTGGTTCTTGGAATGCAGTCTCTTGTGTATGGAAGTGTGTCTCAGAAGAGCCTTAACATGTGCACAGATTCCTCACACATTTGGTATTTAAGAGCTTATACATCATAGATCAGCGCCTAGTGACTGCAAGCATTCTAGCTCCAAAAATATGTACCTTTCACACAGACCCCAGAAAAGAAAATGACCCTAATGATTTTGATTAAATTTCAATAAATTACAACACTAATCTTCCTGGGGGGGGGGACATAGGCTGTGTTTCAGAGAAATAATGGTATATGCACTACAGGCCCAAATGCAAATGCGAGTTTTGTTGAAACCAGCATTACCAGTTGGAAGGCTTTCTTTATTATCTGGTATTCAGTAACCAACAATGGTCTACTGATCAACAATCAATTTTGTTCCCTAGTTCATATGGTCAATGTCAATTGCATGTGGTAAGGCATGTGCCATGTCTCTGTACTGATTTCTTCAGTACCAACACCACTGCCCTTGAAGCCGTTCTGAACTTGGAGACATACAATTGCCATTTCCTAGACAATAAACTGTTACTCCCAAATCTGAATATGGCTGCCAACCCCATAGCACCCAGAAATCTAAAATCCCTATTCCTGTGATATTCTCACAGCTGTGACAACCATAAAAAATACAGTCCTCTGCGTTGTGAAGCTTTGTAGTCTTGTAGATATTTACTAATATTTTACAGGAGCCTGCTGCTTCCGTCTCTACAACAGAAAAGGTTCCTCTGGAACACTGATATCTACGTACTATGCTACACAGCATCAAACTGACTCTTCTACCCAAAGGTATTTGCAGCAGATTCCTCTGAAATGTTTGTACCTACCAGACTACATGGCATCACAGTCTCAAAGACTGTGATCTTCATTCTAGTCCCCCTACATGACGTCTGGATGGCCTTCATTTATATACACAAACCCTGACACAAATACAAATGGACACCATACTGTAAAGGTAAAGGTAAAGTTGTCCCTGTGCTTAATTAAGCACTATATCATGAAGGCATATGGAAGAGCAGATCCATATTTTGACCTTGGCACTAGCTGGAGGTGAGTGGTCAGCTTCACACCCCGGCTGCTTTACTCCTGGGGAGAAAGCCCCGCAGTACCCATTGGATGGGGGGTTGGGTGGACCCCGGAATGGGTCTGGACAATGTGGAAAGGAGAAAATTCCTGCCCCTACTGGGACTCAAACGCCGACCACTCAGCCATCCAGCCCTTAGCCAGTCATGATACCAACTTCACTATGGATAAACATGTACAAAAAAGAATACAAAATACTTACCAATATCATTTTCAATTCGTAAATTGTTCAGCAGATCCTTCAGTTTCTCCATGGACCATCCACAAGCATTTTTTTCAGTCCTAATACATAACAAGAAAATCACTGTAATTGAGATGAGTCCTCGTGGCAGTGAGCATGACAACTGCCATCTTCTGGGACGTGATGCCAAGCAGTTTGATGGACAGGCACTGGCATTTCACAGGAACATCCTGCCTCCATCTCCACGATAGATGGGTAAGCATCAGAATGCGGTACTTACACACTAACATGTGACACAATGTTGTCCACCATGTTGGTGCTGCCACCCACAGGGGATGGACAAAAATATGGAAACACCCAACAAAAAACACATTACCATGACCAATATGGTGTAGGACAACCTCTGGCTTGCAGAACTGCTTGCAGTCTCCTTGGAATGGATAAATAGAGGTCCTGTGTGATTTGCAAGGGAATCTTGTACCATTCTTCCTGCAAAACATTGACAAGTTCTGTTAATGATGATGGAGGTGGATGGCACATACGTAAATTGCTCTCCAAAACAGACCACAAAGGCTCAATAATATTGATATCTGGCGATTGTGGGGGCCATGGCAGATGTGACACTTCATCTTAGTGCTCAGAAAATCAGTCCTGGACGATGTGAGCTGGGTGAACACGGGCACTGTCATCTTGGTAAATGGCATCACTACTGGGGAACAAAGTTTGCAGCATGGGATGGACCTGGTCGCCCAAAATGGTCACACAGTCATTGGAAATGACATGACCTTGCAGGGTAATGATGGATCTGACAGAATACCACGATATGGCTGCCCATACCATGATCGCACCCATGCCATGTTTCACTCTTGGCAGCAAACAATCTGGATCATAAACTTGGGATGCTGTTCTCCAGACGTAAACTCGGCCAGAAGTCGGAAACAATGTGAAGGTGGACTCACCCGACCAAATGACCTTCTTCCATTGTTCTATAGTCCAGGTTTTATGACTTCGGCACCACACTCCCCTCTTAGTGGCATTTTGATCACTGATGAGTGGCCTTGGAATTGCAGCTCGTCCAGAAATACCCTGCTTGTGGAGTTCCCTTCATACTGTTTTGGTGCTGACAGGGTTTGTGAGCGTGACATTCAGTTCAGCAGTCACTTTTGCAGCTGTAGTCTTCTTATTTTTCATCACAATCCTACACAATGTTTTTCTGTCTCGATCACTCAACACACATTTCCATCCACGTGGGTGTTTATTGGATGTGGTTTTTTCCAGTCCTCCTGTATGCGGCCATAATCTTGGATACTGTGCCTTGTGAAACACAAAAAAAATCAGCTACCTTGGTTATGGAAGCACCCACCATATGGGCCTGAACAATTTGCCTGCGTTCAAATTCTGTTAGCTCTGACACGATGCACTAGAAACTGCACAGAACACTGTCTCGACAACAAATGAAGCTTGCAACGTATTGCGGAGGTTGTACAGGTAGTGGTATCGGGCAAATATGACAGCGTCACCTACAAAAGTCGCTAAAATAACCACTTCAATTCAGGCATGCATTTCACAAGGTGTTCCCATATTTTTGCCCATCCCCTGTACATTTATTAAAACAAAACCCAAAGACTAACCATATTGGGTCCTTTAAAAACAAAACCAAATGCTTACTCCTATGGATCTGTTGATGGAGGGAAACTTTACAGTCAGTTTTCATAACTGAACTCCTAAGGCTAACAGTGATAATATTGCGAACAACATGACGATGAAATTTGGAGTTACTTGAATCACCCATTAAGGGTAAATATGCTGAATGACTATAACCAACCAGCAAATATCACTCTTCTACCCTGAAGATGAAGGCAGTATGTCTCCCCCCTCCCCAAAAAAATCTACATCGCATACATCCCAGACCACAATCTTGCTACAAAGATTCAGTTTTAGAGCAATAACACTGTTCCTCTCTTACTGTAATAAGGAAGATTACTTATTTACTTACTTACTTACTCATGGAACTGAGCCCTTCTGGAGGAGCCACAAATTCTGCAGCTACTCAAGAATTTCCCAGCATTTTATGGAACCCGAAGGTTCATTACCGTGTTCACAAGAGCCCTCCACTGGTCCCTATCCTGAGCCAGATCTATCCAATCCATACCATTCCATCCTATCTCTCTAAGATGCATTCTAATATTGTCCACCCACCTACGCCTTGGTCTTCCCTGTGGTCTCTTTCCTTCTGGCTTTCCCAACAATATCCTATACACATTCCTCGTGTACCCCATTCATGCTACATGACCTGCCTATCTCATCCTCCTTGACTTGATCATTCTAATTATACTTGGAAAAGAGTACAAGTTATGAAGCTCCTCATTATGCAGTTTTCTCCAACCTCCTCTCACTTCAACTCTCTTCGGTCCAAATATGTAATAATTTTAATCTTCCTGTAATAAGGAAGATTAAAATATGGAAATGTGTAAAAATGTATGAAAATAATAAAAACAGACATGTTCACAATGAAAGTGGTGAACAAAATATGCTAAAATTAAACGTGTCTTTAAGTAAACATCAAAGTTAAGATTTATTGATGTATGCCAAAATAAAAACATCTTTACCAGTGCCAATTGTTAACATTCGTAGCATCAGGCCGCTCTTCCACAATCCATCTAGGGTCACCTTCTCCCCACTTTGCCATTCTGACACTAGTTTATACAAATACACCTGATTATCTGAAAGAAAAAAGCGAGATATTCTCTTGTAATGTGCAAAACAATATTATGTTTGGATGTGAGATTTAAGTTACCTCAGTGTGATGATATACAACTTAGTATACATCTTATGATATACAGCTTAGTATACATGTAGTACATGTATACATGTCAATAACAAAATTGCTTAAAACACCAATATAACCGACTGTTTCGGTTAATATTACAACACATCAAATCAAATTCGTGAAAATGTCAAATGCAGAATATTTGGAGAAAGAAGGTGAACAATACTTCGTGCGGTTACCTACTACAGAAGAATTTAGTTTAACGCTATACTGCATGGTTAAACTCGATTTCAATACCTGCAACCGGGAAATTTATGGAGAAGAATTCGCGGGCCGAAAAGTGCTGTTTGCAATTCAATTCGTACCTTCTCACTCTAGGCCGTTTAAAATTCCCAATATAGTGTTAACTGTGTCATAATAATTAATACCTTCAAAAAAAGTAAAATCGAATGAATAATTTTACGTGCCTTCTACTTCACCCAACAGAGACACAAACACTACACACAACCTGACGACCTAACACTGAACGATATGTTACTAAAAAGCGCTTCGAAATTTCTAGACCGTTCTAGAAGTTTTAGACCTTTCAGACCTTCTACACCATCATCGAATTCAAGACCGTTCAAGACGAACAGTATTCTGAAAACGGAAGTGACGAAATGGAAGTTGTAACACGCTCACCATCGTCGGTTTAATTTACGTAAAATTATATTCATAATTCAAGTGGTTTCGATCAACTCTGCTGTTTCCGCATTTTTAGGTTTTAAATATGCACAAACAAACATTTTATGCTAGAGTTTGTATGATGAGTTTCATCCTCTTTGGAAAAATAGAACAGGGAATCAACTGCATTTATTAGTTCCAATATACCACTAAGAGATGTCAGACATTGTGCACGCAGTTACTGCCATCTTGTAAATTTTGTCTGCATTACATTCCGTAGCTGAAATATCCGACTCCGCACGAGGCAGAACGGAGGTATAAACGACGCAGATAAGAAAAGCAACACTGACGCTAAGAAAAGACTGTTACTGACAAAATGACCCAGATGTTGAAAGGAATGTTTACTAGAAAACAATTTGGACACACACACACACACCCACAAGAAAGCTCACTACAAAACAATGCGAAAACAAAGATTACGACAACGCAAAGTCCAAAATTAATGACCACGAAACCGATGGCTACTGATTAACCAAAGTAGGTGCCGACGGATACAGTTGACGCATACGACAACTGGACGGAAACATAACATAATATACGTGTAAAACAACATAATTCTAAGGAGCCGACTTCTTTTCAAGAATTTAACAAGTATACATATTTTTTTTAACCATCTCACAAAGCAATTACAATACACCGTACCCTTATTCCAGAAACTTCACTGGATGCTTCCATCTTTTTCTGGTCATTATCAGGTGTTAAATGCAGCGACCATCGCACAATAAGCCTTATTGCACACACAGCAAAGATAATAGCAAAGATACTTAAAAGAAGAATTGAAAGGAAAATAGAGGATATGCTTGGAGAAGATCAGTTTGGATTTAGAAGAGGAAAAGGAACCAGGGATGCAATTGGGATGATGAGAATTATAGCGGAACGAACTTTGGAGATAGATGAAGAACTGTGTGTTTGCTTCATAGACTGGCAGAAGGCATTTGACCGGGTAAACTGGAC